AATTCCTTGCTTTAAATCGAAGTTTCCTAGGTTTGCGTTTTACTAAAGGATTTTCAATATCTTCAAAATTTCACGAACTCTCCCTCTTGGCTTTGAAATTTTTTTTTTTTTTGGTTATTACTTTTGATTAAGTTCTTTGGATAGAAGATTATCCCAATCCAAATGTGAAATCTTACTTTCTAGTATTACTACTTAGTTGGATTCTTCTAAACAAATCAATTTGTTGAATCTCAGAGTCTAAATATTATCTTATTCATTTCTCAACCCACATGATCTTTACAAGCTAGGAAAGACAACCTCATTTCTAGCTCATAAATGTGTTCATCCACGACAATCAGCATGGGATGAAAGGTGTAGCAAAAGCAATGGTTGTGATGAATAAGCAAATGGTTGATGGGATCAAACATGGAACACTAACTCAAACATCAGCAAGACCTCCTGTTAAGTTGCTAGAAAAGAACAACAACCAGCTCCACTAGCTCCTGCTCTTAATGATATTCAGAGAAGACTTGCACTAATTGCTTAAAGTTATTTACTTCGTACATTGTGTATTATCTTATTTGATATTTGAGAATATTTCTTCTTGTGTGACAGTTGAAGAAATTTTGGATCAACTCTAAGTCACATTTGAAGGAACCAATAAAGTGAAAGGAAATGACGTGGAACATCTTACTTAGAGATTTTGAGACTTTCAAGATGAAGCCACGTGAATATATCAAAGAAATGTTCTTGGGCTACAACGACATCATGAATGGACTTGCTGATGATGGCAAGATTTACACAAATGAGGAACATCCAATCAAGATTCTTCGAGCACTACCACAAAAATGAGTTCATGCGAAAATCGTCAATTCATGAAGCTCAAAGATCTCAACACTTGATATTGAATGAAATTATCGGAACTCTTATGGCTTATAAAAGCAAATCCAAACTCAAGCTGCGAAAATCCAAAGGTAAAAAGTCTATTGCTTATAAAGTTAACACTTTTTATGTAGACTTTGAAGGATCGGCTCCAACGACAACAATAATGATGATGATGATGATATGACCTCGTTGATTCAAGAGCTCCTAAGATTCTTAAAGAGAAAGAGAAATCCAAAGGCAATCATATCATCTATCCAAAGTTTAGAAAGAGGAAGAAAATTTGGAAAGAAAATGCGTTGAGCAAATCGGATTGGAAATTAGCCAATATCAACAATTAGCTCAAAGATCACCAAAAACCAATAGCAGCACCTGCTGTTTTTCTATAAAAGATCACGAATCTGATCCTGTCCAAATCCTAATGCTATCAACTAAAGATTTTAAGTAAGTTTTGATAAAAATCAAATTCAAAGGTATGGTATTTGCTAAAATCTACTTTGTGTAAGAATATCAAAATTTCATGTTCATTCTCTAACTTGCCTTGCAAATATTTTGATAAATTTATCATGATTCTTGATGATACCTGCTGAATTGTTTTTGATTATATATGATTCATATTGATATTGTTTCTTGTCATAAATGTAAGGCATTACATGCATTCATTGTAAGAAATGACATGTATAATACTTGTATATGATAGAAGCATCAACATCTCCTTTTACAAATGATGCTAATGCTACATGTTATATTCTCATTGCATTTGAGATTCTTTTTGCTCGAGGAAAATCCCTTAATATCGAAAGCAACCATTGCATGCTTTTGTTTTTAAAGCCCCCTCAATCAATGAAAGAACGCAACGTTCTCGCAAATTTATCTTTACCTTTACTTTTCCACAATTTAAATATTTTTCAATTTCCATACTTTAGTTGTAGTTTCAAATATATTGTCGTCGATTAAATTCCGACTTTGTACCTTTGTCATCTCACTTTGTCGTCGATTAAATTCCGGCGAAACTTTTTATGTCATCGATCTTCGGGTTGATTAAATTCCGTTGAAGCGTACCTCTTCCTTGTGTTCCATTGATATGACTGCTGTCTGGAATCACCACAGAACCCGTCTCCTCTTAACAAAAATCTAAGAACAAATTTCGGTGAAAAATACTAGTCGAGGATCCAATTTGGGCAAAGCACATACATAGAAGCAGTCAAAAGACTCAAAACCCATCAGTCCTAAAAAAACATGTGCTTGACCAATCGAAATGCATGGCAAATGAATCAATATAACCATATTATATACGTAGTAATATCAATTTGGCTGCACAAAACACAATAGAAGATATTCCGTCGGTCACTAATGTAATAAAATTTAGTTTATTTCATTGGCTGGGCAAGGAAGTTCTAGGTACGAGCAGCTAAGATAGATCAGTGATATGCTGAAGAATTTGTATGTTACTACATGAATGTGGAGGAGGCAGCTTGTAATGGAAAGTTTGGATTTCATGTATTGTGAATGAAGTTGTATGAATAGACAGTTCTTTTATACTTGAGTACGTTATGCTCGGGCTTGATTTTCTTTTGTCTTTATTTTATAATTTCTCGGTAAATTAAAATTTATTAAATACTCATGGAAATAGAAATTTTAATTTATACTTAATTCATCATAATTTTCACAATGAGAATCCCACAAAATTAACACATAATAAGATTTTCAAATATCAAAAACAAAATGTGAATACACGGTACATAAAAGAGTGAAATATGATATTTTAAGGTTATACTTGGTCTAGTGGTCTGGGTTCTACGCACACCCTCCTCTTGTTGGGTGTGCACACCCCCGTTTGATGGCACGGACGCCATTTGGGTAGCGACAAATGTTCCACGCGACCTGTGGATCCTGGTGAAAACTCTTTTGACATTGTTTGCACACTACATGAAAGTTTTTAGTCTCTAAGAATTTCCATGTCCGTTCTTACTCAGTTGGTCACCCAAATCGAATATATTTTTGGTTCAAACTAGCCATATATCGTAAATAACAAGGGAATCTTATATACTAAGTGGAAATTTATTAGAAAGTCAAAAAAAAATTATAATATGTGAGAGGGATGAAGGAGAGTAGGGGTGTGCAACCGGACCGGCTTTACCCGGGAACCGGATCAGACCACCTGAAAAAATAGGCCCGGGAACTGGTTCATATTTGAACTAGTCGACGAACCGGTTCCATTTTTTGGGAACCGGTTAAAACCGGTCCGGTTCCCGGTTCCAAGTGAAGACGAGAACCGGGCCGACCAGACCGGTTTTGAAACCGATTTTTAGAATGTGTTAAAAAAAAAAATCCTAGATCATACTATTACTATATTTTGGATTGTTGCTTTTGGTGGATAGTAGTTTCTATTGCTCATCTTAGGGATTGTTGCTTTTGGCGAATAGTGATTTTTATTATTCATCTTTTACTTTGAATCGTTTCATTATTACTCATATTATTTTGCTGGAATAAATGAAACTAGAAAATGAATAAAAGAAAAACAGGTTCTAGGATAGATCCTAAAACCAGGCCGAAAAAATAGAATAGGTTCCAAAACAGGTTTGGGGGCAAACAAGGTAGGTTCCAGGTTCCAAAAATTGGGAACCGGTTATAACGGGGTAGATTCCAGGTTCTAGGTCTGGAACTTACCTACCCTGGAACCGATCACCCCTAAAGCTAAGAATGAGAGCAAGATACCTCTAATTCACAGCAAATTTTATGATTTTCTTTTAAGTTGGCCAGACAACCCTTGGACTTATTTTTTCATCCCCAGGCCATTGCCCGAGAGCAAAGGGGCTGTTCCCGCAAGCCCCTTTTTCCTAATGGGCCCGGCCCAACAAGGGCCCAATGGTGACATGCCTGAGCCGACAAGGCCTGTTGGCCATTGCTATTCCCTACCACAGGTTTACAACCGATGGAAATTCTATTTGCATACATTCAAATACATCCGAACCATTTAATTAATAGATTCCACACATACTTAATTAGTATAGCGCTCACATAACTCAACAGTTCAGATAGGATCCAGGATACATGCATTGAGTGCCTAGAATAATTTTTCGGTCTAGTATAGATGCTGTTTCAATTCCTACGCACGATTTCTTGTACATTCTTCCCTGACGAACATGCGTTTCGCTGTGGCGCGACTGTTTTCTGGATTTTCATGTGAGCTCTCTCGAGTTGAGCATGTACCGATCCGGCCATACATGCAACTAAGTAATTCTTATAACCCAAGAACAGGTCTTCATCTCGGTGAGATGTATGTCTGTCGGGGAGGAAATGTTCCTTAAGACATTCGATGGAGTTTAATCTTTGAGAACAGAAAAACAAACGCCCAGGGTAGCTCAGAGACACTTATGTGAGATACATCAGCTAAAGCAGACTAATTTTCCGATGAACATAGGCAAGATCAGTACCACTTGCAGAGCGAAAAAGTGGTCAGACCCGGCAAATCTTGTCCATCGACAGGTCAAAAGCCAAATGCAGGACTTCAAGATCATGAGAATTAACATCAATAGCATAGACAATCAAGACAAAGCAGAAGTTACGAAAAACAGATAAGCAAATGTACTATAGCCAGGAGCTATGCTATAATCAGGCTACTCGTATGAAATAGCCTCCGATCCTATACCAACGTAAAGCACTGGAGATGCTGTAAGAATTTCAATTGAGCAAGCAAAATGAACCATTGAACAAGCTCTTGTCCACCAAAGAAAAAGATTTCATCGTTATACATAAGTCTACATCACTCACACAAGCGAACATAGTTCTCGAGCAGGACAGGAAAAACCTGAGCTTTGAGCAGAACTTCTATTCTGCATATGAGTAGCGGCATGTGAAGAAAACAGCCACAGATTAGAAGATCCTCTGTTTCGACCAAAAAAAATAAATAGATCCTCTAACTCTTGTATCCTGTGAGTCTGCTATATCATAAGATGCAACACACTGATTTTTCTGAGCATTTGAATCATCAAAACCATGGCAAGAACAAAGGAAAGAAAAGGCAAGGAATCGAACAATTCAATGCCCTGACGCAAAACATGGAAAAGTGCTCACGGTATGGGAGCGCCGTTAGATCTTCCTAGAATCTTGAGTCGGCACAGTATCCATGAGATTGGTTTGAGGGTGGAAGCATCAAGAGAGTTGGCTCATCATTTCACTAAAATTGTACATTAGCATGAACATGACAGCAATTTTGCATTGTGCTTCTACTTGAACATATGAACCAAAATCTACATTCCACTACTTTTGGCATGGATAGAGCATCTCAAATTTGTACAAAATCTGCCAAAATGCGAGCATTCTCAGATTAGAAACAATCGCAAGTGGCAATAAGACTACTTTCCAAACTTCACGAGCGGTTCTTCAGCTCTCTGTACTTCATCAAACAAGCATCATAAAAGCCCGTCTGCACGCTGGCACGTACACCCGTCTGACAGTAAGTTGCGAAATGTTCGCAGTTATTACCAGTAAGATCATACTTACCAAATCCATTGCTCCTGAGAAGCTCATAAGCAGCTTCAACAACTTGTTTAGGGGATCTGCTACAAGAAAGGGTGCTGCAAGTTCCCGAATTTTTCAGGAGAAGGCCTAATCGCGGTGCGCCATACATGAAGTAATGAATGGAATGAAGCGTCTTGCGGCCCCGACGGAAGCAATCGAGGCACGTCTTGATGACCCCGCGGTCAGCGTTTTCCTGGTACCCACATTCTGGACAGGCAGGCACAGTTTCTGGTTCGACCATGGAAAGGGAAAGGATAGCCTCCTTGCTCTCTGTCCTGGTGAAGTGAATCACATAACCGCCTCCCACGTATATTCCTGGCATGTTTAGACACAACTTAATGAATTATGAAACACTTAATCAAACCACAGATTTGCCCAAAAGATGGAATTAAACCACCAATAGCAGTAGGATTTGGGTTTGGTTTGCTAGCAAATCAAGATAAAGCAGGCCTTTGCACCATAGGCCTTCGGACAACATTACACTCAACTTTCTCTTTCTTTGTCATAAACTTTCCAGTGAACTTGTAAGGATCTAAAAGGACAATACGAGCAAAACAAGAAAAGAACACAGAAAGTGATAACCCCAAAGAAATCACACCGATTATTGCAGTAGTTTAACAAAATGTAGGAAAGAAATCTAGAAACCAAAAGGTATGCATTTGACTCAGAAAAGGCATAAATTTTACGTATCTAACTTCAAATGCTAATCATAGATCTCAATTGGCATCACCATCTTCCCCGTTATTTGGGTCTATTATTTGACAAATTCCTCCTCATGACCCTGCTTTTGGGCCAGGGAAGACAGGAAATGAAGCTAGAAATGCGATTTTTATCAGTTGGAAGAGAAAACTTCGTCCGATTAAAGAATCAGACAAGAACCCAATTGAGAAAGAACAGGGAAGAAGAGATCTCATAAGCAAGCATCAGAGAGGTTGAAGAAGACTGACCATGGTGACTGTAAGAGCCGTATCGCTTATAAGCGTAGATGTGATCACCAGGTTTCAGATCTTTTGGGTCGACCTTCTTCCATATCAGCTTCATTCCATCTTCAATTTCCTTCTTGATCTTGTTCATCATTTTCTTTTTCACTTCGGGTTCTTTTGGACCCTCTCTTTACTCCCAAACACCAAACTTTGCATACTGTTTGCTGAGAGAAGCCGGCACTGCGAAGCCGGCACTTGTATAGACAATGCTAGGAGATGATCAATGCTTGTCCATCAAGTTTCGTGCTTGTTTCTTTGGATTGTGTGGATGAGACAGAATTGGCCCAGTCAATGAGCCAGTCAGATTTTTCCTCTCCACGCACAGCACTAGTCAAACCCCCCTCTCGGATTACCGGTGGAGATGTCTTAATGAGGTTGAAAAATGAGTAACCAAATCTCCTTCCATATCCATTCCATCCCATCTGCTTTGGAAGATATGTGATATTCCTTTTGAACAGTAATGATTAGCAAAATTGGTACATGACTTGCTTATGTTTAGTAATGAGTAGTAATTTCTAAAGGCCTCTCGTTCCTATATTCTTATCGTATGATTCATTACTAAATAATACCTATTTACTTTATTTGGTATTGAGATTTCTTCCGTTAGATTTTTATTTGGTGCCCAATATATGTAAATCTTTGTTGCTGGGGTGACATGTATACACATGGTCGATTTGTTTTCTAAACATTCTTTAAACTGCACGTTGCACTCATTTAGATCGTTTTGGAAAATAAAATTATTACATTGCGATGTATAGGATAGAATCTCCTTTCCCAATTTCCAAATTAACTTTTTCTTTCCCAATTTGAATTAGGCCTTGATGTGAATTAGTAGTAGTCTTGTAGATGTTGGATATATTACTCGTCAATATCCCCTTAGGGACCTAAAGACGGGACGGCAACACACAAACTTGCAGCTGTAAGGAAAAGCCAGCCTTGGAATTATTGATGATTGCTCTCAATGTTGCGACAACACCCTTTGGCCGTACCCTGCGAGAAAGAACGTGATTTTTTTTTGGTCTGTAACCAGAGAATCTGGTAAGAATGGAGCATTTCTACCTTATTTCACCAAACCCTCATCACAAAACAAGCATCTAACCCTCTGTTCACTCATTTCACAGTGAGTGTCGTTCATTGGTAATAACACTGCCAAAATGCAAAATGCAAACTCCCCAACTCCATGATTCCACCATATTTACTATCTTCTGTGAGTCTGTCCAGAGTCATTCTCTCATGCACATTCAATCTTGAATTTGGCAAAGCATCACTTCTCGATCAAGATATGGTGGATGATTCAGGACCTAATTGGGTGGGGATGAACAAAAGAGTTTATCTTCACTTACCCAGAAAGAGAAAGAGGAAAGAAAGGAATTTAGAGCGGCACCCACCCATGATTCTGCCACAGAAAATATAGTCCAACTGCAGAACCTTCTCCAGACTTTTTAAGTGTTGTCGGCGGAAATTCTACTGATGTCAATCAACGACCCTTTTATTTCTTCACGTTGACTGCGTAATCGGCAAAAAAGTTGGATGGTTCTTGAGCAATTTAACTTTTGAAAACCCTCCTATTCAAGAAAAGAACCGTATTATTAACCTTTAAGTCATAAAATAAGCTGAAAACAGATGTTTCTCTGAGAGAGCCATGTAGAGTACAAGCCTAAAAGCAGAAAAGAAAAAGGGTATAGTTTCTCCAGTATATGGGTTCTTAGAGGGAATGGTGCGGCTCAATTTTCTTCATGTTGTATAACATCCAACCGGTAAGTTATTCATCAGAAAGAGAATGTTCTTGGTGGTACAATATGCAGAGAGCAACAACAATTCATATTTGTTTCTTAACACGTACTCATTTAACTGAAAAGAATCACACAAACTACGCCGCACAACCTTGACGTCGGTGTTAATGAATCTGTACTCTTATGAGTGTGGAATTGCAAATTGGCATTCACAAGAGTCTGATTGGAATCTTTGGATGTGAAACATTGCAACCAATGTGTTTGGGAAGCCGAAGACCAACACGGACTTCTGGCCGTACAGTGGGGATCGGTTCAAGCTGTCGATTCCATCCAAATGGAATCCGAGCAGAGAGGTGGAGTACCCCGGCCAGGTCCTCCGATATGAGGACAACTTCGACGCCACCAGCAACATCACCGTCACTGACTTACTTTGGCAAGACTGACGCTGAGGTAATCTTTAGTCCCAATTTGAATTAGGCGTAGGATTCTCGTAGATGCTGGTTAAGATTCCTCATCCACATCCGTCCTTGGGGCTTAAAGACGGGACCGCAACACAGAACTTTTGTCAAGGAAAGGCCAGTCTTGGAATTAATTGAAGACTAGTTTCGATATTCCGACAACACCCTTTGACGATACCCTACGAGACAAAGGGAACTGACAACGTAGGATCGATTTGTATTGGTGGTCCGTGAGACGTTGCTGTCTCTCGTCATCTCCGATGCCCAGTCAATCATCTGGTTCTTTAAAGGGAAGACACTTTATAGCAGATTCACTCCACATCAAAATATTAATAAAGGGAAGAGTCTCTCCTCAATCGTACAATATGATTAAAAAAATGTAGCATTTCTACCTTACTCAAACAAGCCTATCACAAAAGTAGCATCTAACTCTTTGTTCACTAGTTTCACGGTGTGTGTCGTTCATGCATAACAACACTGCCAAAATGCTAAATGCTAAATGCAAATGCCTCAACTCCATGATTCCGTTAAATTGGATTAATACAAAAAAAAATCACAAATTAGTACACATGTGATGAATAGAGAATAAAACTCCAAACTAATACATCCGTCAACTATCACGTGTGATTTAACTCAGCAATTTGATAGTAAAATTTTCTCGGAAACTAACGGAAGGTAAATTTGTCACAAGCGTACGAGTTTAGGGCTTTTTGTGATAAAAAAATTAGTTTTGGATAAATTTATCTCAAGTGCACTAATACGGGGTTTTTCATAGTATTAACCCTTTTATTTTTTAGTTGGCCAAACGGCCTTAGCCTTAGAGGCCCGTGGTCACTCATGTGGCCCTGGGTCCAATCATTGGACTCTTTTTTTCACCCGGGCCAATGCTTGGGACCAAAGGGGTCGTGCCTGGCACGCAACTTTGTCCAAATGGGCCAAGCCCAACACAGGCCCAATTATGCCATGTCTGGGTCGGCACGGTCTGTTGGCCATTGCTAATCCCGACCAATGTTTCCAATCAGTGGAGAATCTATTTTGATGTGTCCAAATACATCCGAACCATTAATTTATAAAGTCCACACATATATAATTTAAACACAACTCGGTTAAGGTAGGATCCAGTAAACCCATTAGACGGGTGAGTCGGGTCAGGCCGAGTCCGCCCCAAAGAGACTCGTTTAGCCTCTTTTGACCAATTTTCATGCAATATAAATCCAGTGACTCATACTCGACCCGACTCATGCCCAACCTATAACCAATTCGATCCCAACCATATTTATAAAGTACTTCCATATTTAACCAAATCCATGAAAACTCATACTAAGTGAGCACAAAATCAAGTGAGGGCGAGAGAAAATGAAGAGAGAGTGGGTTAGATTTAAGTAAGTCGTAAATACATTTATGACTCATTTAACACTCATATTATGTTTAAACCCATTAATTGAATATAAGTAATCCATACAACAACTCGCCCATCATATATGAGTTAAGAAATTGGTTTGTGACCCATTTTAACAGATTTAAATCCAAATTACATAAATCGAGTGCATAAAAGAATTTTTCGGTCTAGAGTTGGATACTTTCTGGGGTCCTTCCCACGATTTACTCTACGTTCTTCCTTGACAAACGCGCATTGAATTCGTACAGTCTTATACCAATGACTTAGTTCAATCACGTTTGGCTGTCCCATGAGCGTTCTCCAAATTTTCATATGAGCTCTCTCGAATCGAGCATGTAGCAGTCCATCCATACATGAACTAAGTAATTCTTACAACCCAAAAACAGGTCTTCATCTCGGTGAGTTGTATGGTTGTTGGGGAGGAAACGTTCCTCAAGATATTCCATGGAGCTTAATTTTGAGAACCGATAAACAAACGCTCGGGAAACTCGGGAGTTGATGGACATAGCCGAGATGAGTACCACTTACGAGCCAAAAGAGGTCGGACACGGCAACTCTTGTCGATCGATGGGTCTAAGGCCAAATGCCGGACTTCAAGAACATGAGAATCAACACGAATAGCATAAAAGAACCTAGACAAAGCAGAAGTTACGAAGAACGGACAAGCAAATGTACAATTGCGCTTCAATCATCTGGCCGGAAGCTATGCCATAGTCGGGCTACTTGTATGTAATGGCCTACTTTCCTAAACCAATGTAAAACTCTGGAGATGGTGGAAGAATTTCAATTGAGCAAGCAAAAATGAACCGCTTAACGATCTCTTGTCCACCGAAGAAAGAGATCAAATCGTTAGAGGCAAGCCTAAATCACTCGCACAAGCGAAGAAAATTCGGAGCTCGACACTCTGACGCAGAGAGAAAGCGTAAATTTGGAACAACTCCAAAGAACTCGAAATTTTTATTCAATAATACTGTGTTTTTTATTACAAGACGGACATCTTATATATAGAGATAGGACTCCTAATACTAATGGAAACCGAATAATTAAAGAAACTGCTCGATTGGTAATATAGGAAAGCGCCTTACTTGGTAATATAGGAAAGCGCCTAAATGATAATATAGGAAGCTCGCTTGAATGGTTGTTTTCCCCAAAATCAGAAAAACTGCCGAGATTTCCGGTGATTACGGCGATCACATTGTTCAAGATAATCACAGGCTAACTGTTCTACATCATTCTCTCCCTCTTCGGAAAAATTTGCCCTCGAGTTATGATCAGGATAGAGGGGTGTATCAGAAGCATGATACTCAAATAAGTCTGCCACATTAAATGTAGGGGAAATGTTGAGATCACCAGGAAGTTCAACTACATAGGCATTGTCGTTGATCTTCTTCAGGATGCGGCAAGGACCAATCTTCTTGTGCTTCAGTTTATTAGAGGTACCTACAGGAAAACGCTCCTTTAGTAGGAAAACCATTACCTCATCGCCTACATCAAAAATTTTCGAACGTCGCCGTTTGTCAGCATCCTCCTTATACTTTGAATTAGAAGCAGCCAATTGACTAGCCACAGCAGCTTGGACTTCATTAATTCCGGTCGCCAAATTCTCTGCCGCGACACTATAGCCTGGAATCTTGGGCAAGGGAACCAAATCCTGAGTATGCTGTGGTGTACGCTCATAAACGACCTGAAAGGGAGATGTACTGGTACAGCGGTTAACCGAGTTGTTGAAGGCGAACTCGGCGGGAGCAAGATACCGGTCCCCTTGCTTAGGCATATCGCTGCGAGAGCGGCGAATGATATCCGCCATAGTACGATTCACAACTTCCGTCTGACCATCCGTTTGGGGATGGAAAGAACTACTATACTGTAAATCAGTCCCAAACAAACGCCATAAAGTACGCCAAAAATGGCTCAGAAATTTCGTGTCACGATCGGAAGTGATTGTCTTCGGCACACCATGGAGACGAACTACTTCACGAAAGAATAAACTTGCTACATGCGTAGCATCCGAAGTTTTCTTACAAGGGATGAAGTGCGCCATCTTTGAAAATCGGTCAACCACCACGAAAACAGAATCTAAACCCCGTTGAGTGCGAGGAAGTCCCAACACGAAGTCCATCGATATGTCTACCCAAGGACCCGAAGGAACAGGCAATGGGGTATAAAGACCAGTGTTCTGAGAGTGGCCCTTAGCGGTTTGGCAAATGTAGCATTTACTGACAAATCGCCCCACGTCTCGCTTCAGTTGAGGCCAATAGTACCGCTCCTCCACCAAGGCTATAGTTTTATCTCGCCCCAAATGTCCGCCGAGAGTACTACCATGAAGCTCTCGAATGAGTTGTTCACGTAAGGAACCACGTGGAATGTATAATCTATTGTCAAAGAACAAGAAATTTTCTTGAATTATCATATCGCCATGACAACTTGTTTCAGAACACTTCTCCCATATCTCACCAAAATCATCATCCTCAGGATAAAGAGAACATAGGTGATCAAAATCGATAACATCAGTACGCATGGTCACGAGTGTCGCAGCACGTCGACTCAGCGCATCTGCCACTTTATTTAAATGGCCTGCTTTGTGACGAAGCACAAAATTAAATTGCTCCAGAAAAGAAACCCATCATGCATGCATTCGATTTAAGTGCTTCTGACTCTTGATATATTTAAGAGCCTGATGATCGGTGTTAAGAACAAATTCCTGCTGATAAAGATAGGACTGCCAATGCTTTATAGCTCGCACGACAGCATAATATTCCTGCTCATACGTCGACCAACGCTGGCGAATTTCATTAAGTTTTTCACTAAAGAAGGCTATAGGCTTACCTTCTTGGGAAAGGACAGCGCCAATCCCGACGCCGGAAGCATCACAGTCCAGCTCGAACACTTTCTCAAAATCAGGGAGCATCAATACCGGCGTCGTGGAGAGTTTTTCTTTTATAAGAACAAAACTGGCCGAAGCTTCTTCTTCCCAATGGAATTTGCCCTTCTTTAAACAGTCAGTGATCGGGGCCATAATAGTACTGAAATCTCGAATGAAACGCCTATAGAATGTTGCAAGACCATGGAAACTTCGAGCCTCGCCAACATTTTTTGGAACTGGCCAATTACGAATCACGGCCACCTTATCTGCATCAACGTGAAGTCCATCTGCGCCAACAACAAAACCCAAAAACAAGAGGCGTTCTGCACTTGTCTTGAAGGCCGTTTTCCATTCATCGCCAGGACGGATGCGAACTTGGTGGTATCCGCTTCGAAGGTCGATCTTCGTAAAAATCCGTGATCCAGCAAGTCTGTCTAGCATATCATCAAGTCGTGGAATCGGAAACCTATACTTGACAGTAATCCGGTTAATGGCACGACTGTCTACACACATACGCATGGTGCCGTCTTTCTTTGGCGTGAGAAGCGCAGGAACTGCACATGGACTTTTGCTTTCACGCAAGAAGCCCTTTCGAAGGAGCTCTCCCACCTGCTCCTGTAAAATCTGATTCTCCTTCGGATTCATCCGATAATGCGGCAAATTAGGAAGACTAGCACCTGGAAGAAAATCAATCTCATGTTGGATATTCCTCAAAGGAGGTAATCCGTCAGGTAAATCCTCAGGCATAACATCACTGAATACCTTTAATAAGGGCTTAAGAATGTCGGGAACACGAACCACAACTTGCTGGTCGCTCTTGTCCACAATCATATACATCCCTTCACGCTTTCAGATATTCATCATAACCCCTGCATTTTGCTTCTTCACAATCTGAGGGGAATTACTTTTTGGTCTCAAAGTAATTTTAGTCCTTTTCCACACAAAAGAATACGTATTCTCCCTAGCTCGGTGTGTAGCATCAACATCATATTGCCATGGCCGACCCAGTAAAACATGACACGCATCCATCTCCACAACATCACAGACAATAGTATCTTGATATGATTTCCTGATCGAAATAGGTAAACGGCATAATTGGTTTACCTTAAGTTCTGCTCCCTTGCGTATCCACCCGATCGTGTAGAGCGCGGGATGTGGCTCCGTCTTTAGTTGCAAGTGATCCACCAAGGCCTTTGACACTATGTTCTCGCAACTTCCGCTGTCAATAATGATATCGCATACTTTGCCATTGACAGTACAGCGAGCGCGAAAAAGCTGATTCCGCTGGGTATCTTCTGTCCGCGGAGTAAGCAATAGACGATGCACTACACAAATAACTTGCTCGCCCACTTCATCTTCCACTCCCACTTCTTCTTCATTTTCCCAATCTTCCTCATACACATCTTCGTCATGTTCAACGATATTGGCCATTCTACGACGAGGACAATCACTGGAACGATGGCCCAACTCATTACACTTGTAACACCTGATCGGTTGGGGCTTGGCATATGGATTCTGGGTATTCGGATTGGGAGTGCGATTGCTTGCTGCGACTGCTTCCTTAGGCGTCCCACTAGTACCCCCTGGAACTCGGCTCGAATCAGGTGTTTGTTGACTAGAACTTGCAACATCAGGCTGTCTTCCTTTCCCGAATGACCCACGACCCGAATAATTGCTACCACGAGTACTAGGGCTAGTCCTCTCCAATTGCACCTCAATTTTTCGCGCCATATCCTGGGCGTCTTCGACAGAGAATAGTCGATGCAAAGAAACCCGATCCTGGATATTAAGTCGTAAACCATTAATGTACCTATCAGTTTGTTGTGCCTTGGACTCATCCAGGTTATTGCGAGCGGAGAGTCGAAGGAACTCTTCCGTATAAGCTTGGACCGATCTATTCGATTGTCGGCAATTCTGGAATTGCTGAAATAACAGTTGCTCATAGTCCGTTGGGAGGAACCTCTTCTTCAACTTCTGTTTCATCTGACCCCAAGATCGAATAGGAGCCTTGCCTTGTCGACGTCGCATCAATTGAGTCTGTTCCCACCAAGCTGAAGCGCCACCCTTCAACTTGTACGCCACAAGTTTCACTTGGCGATCCTCGTCAATATCCATAGCGTCGAAGAATTTTTCGACCTCCCAAAGCCAGTCAAGGAAATCTTCAATATCCAAATTCCCATTGAAAGTAGGGAGATCTACCTTTAGTTGATACTGCTCAGGATCTCATCGATATCCTCCCTGACGTCGATTCCCACGAACATGCTCCTCCTGGAATCCCCTGTATCGGCGACCACCACGAATCTGCATCTCCTGGAAATCATCGTCTTCGTCTTCCGTATCCTCGACATAGTCTTGACGCCTATGTCGGGGAATTCCTCTACGCCCCATAGCATCTTCGGGTTCACGAACGACAGGAATTCGCTCGGCTGGAAGAACGCCAGACGCATGGTTTGTGGACAGACGCTGGATGGCATCAAGGATCTCTTGAAACCTCCGATCGGTTTGATCCACGAACTGATTGAACTCAGCCCGCGTAATAGGCTCGTTCTCACGGCCCTCAGCAGCGGGGAGATTGACATTCACGTTATTCACCATCGTCATAGGAGAAACCTACTCTGATACCAAATGACGCAGAGAGAAAGCATAAATTTGGAACAACTCCAAAGAACTCGAAATTTTTATTCAATAATACTGTGTTTTTTATTACAAGACGGACATCTTATATATAGAGATAGGACTCCTAATACTAACGGAAACCGAATAATTAAAGAAACTGCCTGAATGGTAATATAGGAAACTGCCTTACTGGTAATATAGGAAACTGCCTAAATGATAATATAGGAAACTGCTTGAATGGTTGTTTTCCCCAAAATCAGAAAAACTGCCGAGATTTCCGGTGATTACGGCGATCACATTATTCAAGATAATCACAGGCTAACTGTTCTACATCACACTCTGTGCAATGCAAACGACTAAGGAGTAAAAAGGTCTCGGAACTTCCAACCGCAACGGCTGGTTCTGCTTTGCAAAGAAACAAAGTGGGTTGAAAGAACTGAAAATCTTGTTGAGCCAGATCTCAAATTTCGCACTCATCTTTGTTGTCGTCTTCATGTTTCTTCAGGAACTTTTGGCAGCCACCTTGAAGCGCTATGTGATCTGTGCTGCACTTGATTGACAATAACACAGTGCAGTCCCAACTAATCAACGGAGTCGTAAAATTATAGACAATCAGAATATCTCTAACTATTGTATCCTGTGAGTGTGCTACATCATAAGGTGCAACACACTGAATTTTCTGAGCAGAGAACCATCGAAACCATTTCGAGAACAAAGGAAACAAAAAAGAAGGCAAGAACATCACTGCCATTTTGCATTGCGCTTCTTCTTGGAGATATGAACCAAAATCCACATTCAAAACTATTGATTTGGATAGAGTATATCAAATTTATATAATATAATGCCAGAGTGCACGCATTCTTAGCGTAAGCAACTGTCGATAATGGAAATAGACTACTCGACAAACTTCTTGATACGTTCTTTAGCATCTCTGCACTTCTTCGCAAAGCCATCATAAAATGCCGCCTGCTCGCTGGCACTTACACCCGTCTTACAGTAAGTGGCGAAATGTTTGCAATTATTATCAATAACATGGTAAGTACCAAATCCATTGCTCCTGAGACTCTTTTGAGCAACTTCGACTACTTCTTCAGGGGATTTGTCACAAGAAAGGTTGCTGCAAGTTCCCGCAATCTTCAGGAGATAGCCCCATCGCGGTGCACCATACTTGAAAAAATGGATGGAATGAAGCGTCCCATTGTGTTGACGAAAGCAATCGAGGCACGTTTTAATGACCCCGCAGCCAGTGTTTTCCTGGTACCCACATTCTGGACAGGTGGGCGCAGTTTTTGGTTTGACCTCGGAAGGTGAGAGGAGGCCATTCTTGTTGTCTGTGCTGGTGTAGTGAATCACACGACCGCTTCCCACATATATTCCTGGCATGTTTAGAGACAACTTAGTGAATTATGAAACCCTTAATAACACCACAGATTTTCCCAAAAGATGGAATTAAACCACCAATAGCAGTAAGATCTGGGTTTGGTTTGCTAGCAAATCAAGATAAAGCAGGCCGTTGCACCATAGGCCTTCGAATAACTTTACAGCCGACTTTCTTTTTCTTGGTCTTAAACTTTCCAGTGAACTTGTAAGGACCTAAAAGAACAATTCGAGCAAAACAAGAAAAGAACATAAAAAGCGATGACCCCAAAAAAAATGCACGGATTATTACAGTAGTTCAACAGAACGCAGGAAAGGAATCTAGAAACCATAAAGTACGCATTTGACTCAGAAAAGGCATGTGCTTTTGGTATCTAACTTCAAATGCTAATCATAGATCTCAATTGGCATTACCATCTTCCACGTTCTTTGGGTCTATTATTCGGCAAAATCCACCTCATGACCCTGCCTTTGGGCCAGGGGAGACAGAAAATGAAGCTAAAAAGTTGATTTTAATCAGTCTGAAGAGAAAACTTCACCCAATTAAAGAACTAGAAAAGAACCCAATTGAGAAAGAACTGGGAAGAAGAGATCTCATTAGCAAGCATTAAGAGAGGTTGAAGAAGACTGACCATGGTGAGTATAAGAGCCGCACATCCTATAAGCGTAGATATGATCGCCAGGTTTCAGATCTTTTGGGTCGACCTTCTTCCATAACAGCTCCTTTCCATCTTCAAATTTATTCTTGATCTTGTTCATTCTTTTCAATTTTCACCTCGGGTTCTTCCGGACTCTCTCTACTCTCAAAGACTCAAACTTTGCACTCTGTTTGCAGATAGAAGACGCACTGCGATGCCGGCATAAATATACAAACAATGGTATGAGATGACCAATTCTTGTCCATCAAGTTGGGTGCTGATTTTTCTCTGGCCGCGTAGATGATACTGGAAATGGTCCAGTCAATGAACAAGTCAGATTCTTGCTCTCCATACAGTCGCACAACACTGGCCACACGCTCCCCTCAGACTGATGAAGAAGATGTCCTGATGAAGGTGAAAAACGAGTAACCCTTTCTTTTTCAATATCCAATTCCATCTGCTTGGGAAGATAAGAGCTAATTCTTTTTTAGCAGTGATGATTAGCAAAATTGGCAACGAGACTCGGTCCACGTCCGTCTAAGGGCTGACATTCCTTTTTTATACTCATATTATTCTCGACTAAATAATACCAATTACTTTTTTTTTGGTACCGAAGTTCCTTCCTCGAGATTTTTATTTCGTACCCAATTTATGTATGACTTGGTTGCACAAGTGCCGTGTACACATGGTCAAAATACATGTTGCGCCATTTATTTCCAATTTAGCGTATTTTTCCCCCAATTTGAATTAGGCGTAGGATTCTTGTAGATGCTGGTAAGATTCCTCATGCACATCTGGCCTTGGGGCTTAATTCTGTGTGTAATTGGGCAGAGATAATGAGATAATTCCATTTTCAATTTTATAGAACGATACCTAAGGTATCGATTGCTGATTTGCCCACACTCTACCAACGTAATAAAGAATTGGTCCATCAGTTTGTTGCTCGATTCAAAAAGGCTAGAAATATATCCCATGCTTCTCTCTCAGAGAAAGAATTCACAAATTTGTCTTTCAATTGATTGAAATTCAATAATTCGAAGGCCAAAACTTTGCCGATTTATTTCAGTTGGACGCGCAAGTATCTAAGTATGAGCAACTACTTAAGAACAAAGATAGCGGACAATATGAAGACTTTAAACAAAATGTGGCTTTCGTGGGGAAACATGTCATATGATGAATCTCACCAAGAAGAAATTTGGCAAGGAAAAATCGAATTTGCCAATGACAAGGGGGTACATGATGACTCATGATTATCTAATTTAGAAGAATCAAATGATCCATGAATTATTCAATTCTTTGAAAGGGGACATATGTTCACACCAAAAAACGACCAACTTTTGTCGACAAGTGGTAGACTTAATCGATGAGAGCAGAGTTTTGTGAACAGCATAAGTCATCGATAAAATGAACAATTGACAATTTGAAGAGTATCAACAACTCACCAGTGAAGTCATTAACAATGCATCGTGAAAGCTATGGACAAGAGCCTTGAAGATTTAGAAAACGGATCGATAGTCATCGATGACGAGCAATCAACATAAAAACATAATCATTGGGTGGTTATGTTCATTGCCGCTATTTTATTGTATTTTTTGTAACTTCTTATGGATAAGTGTTCTTGATAATAGGAGTTAGGTAACTCCTTGTAACTGCCATTAGAAAGTTGTTTGTTTATTTGAATTCCAAAGTAATAATCACCATTTGTAACCGTCGATTGTAGGCTTTAAATAGAAACCTCGTACTCTTTTTAAAGCCCCCTCAATCAATGAAAGAATGCAACGTTCTCGCAAATTTATCTTTACCTTTACTTTTCCACAATTTAAATATTTTTCAATTTCCGTACTTTAGCTGTAGTTTCAGATATATTGTCGTCGATTAAATTCCAACTTTGTACCTTTGTCATCTCACTTTGTTGTCGATTAAATTCCAGCAAAACTTTTTATGTCATCGAGCTTCGGGTTGATTAAATTCCATTGAAGCGTACCTCTTCCTTGTGTTCCATTGATATGATTCCTGTCTGGAATCACCACAGAACCCGTCTCCTCTTAACAAAAATCGAAAAACAAATTTCGGTGAAAAATACTAGTCGATGATCTAATTTTGGAAAAACACATACATAGAAGCGGTCAAAAGACTCAAAACCCATCAGTCCTAAAAAAACAAGTGATTGACCAATCGAAATGCATGGCAAATGAATCAATATAACCATATTATATACGTAGTAATATCAATTTGGCTGCACGCAACACAATAGAAGATATTCCGTCGGGTTTAGTGCCTGGTCGCAGGCACTAATGTAATAAAATTTAGTTTACTTTATTGGCTTGGCAACGAAGTCCTAGGTACGAGCAGCTAAGATAGATCAGTGATATGCTGAAGAATTTGTATGTTACTACATGAACGTGGAGGAGGCAGCTTGTAATGGAAAGTTTGGATTTCATGTATTGTGAATGAAGTTGTATGAATAGACAGTTCTTTTATACTGGAGTACGTTATGCTCGGGCTTGATTTTCTTGGGAAAAGTGTCAAAAAAGTCCTAAACCTTTTGCATTAGTGCCAATTTAGTCCTAAATATTTTGTTATTGTCAATTCAGTCATAAACTTTTTGTATTGGTGCCAATTTAGTAATAAACCTTTTTTTATGTCAATTCAGTTCTAAACCTTTTGTATTTGTGCAAATTCAGTCGTAAACCTTTTTGTCTTTGTGCCAATTCAATCCTTCCGGCCAATTTTGGCCGGATTTTGCTGACGTGGACGCCGGCTGGTCATCGGCACTGACATGGACAACTTTTAATAATATTTTAATATTTTTTTAAATTTTTATTTATTCTTTTATTCTTTTCTTTTCTCTTTTTTACCTCCCTCCTTCCTCCAGCCGGTCGCCGGACTGGCGATCGGCCAGAGGCCAGAGGTCGATGAGGACCTCACCGGCCAATGGCGCGACCTCGCCGGCCACTAGCGAGGCTCTCCCTCATCAGCGACGGCGAAGGCGAGCCTCGCCCAGCCACCGGCGAGGCTCGAGCCCTTGCCGGAGGCCACGACGAAGGCCTCTGGCAAGGGCTCGAGCCTCGCCCAGCCATGGCGAGGCTCGCCTTCGTCGTCGCTGGCTAGGGCGAGCCTTGCCTAGCCATGGCGAGGCTCGCCTTCGCCGTTGCTGGCGAGGGCAAGCCTCGTCGGCGGCTAGGCGAGGCACGACCTTGCCAGATCTGGCGAGGCTCGCCTTTGCCGTCGTTGGCGAGGGCGAGCCTCGCCAGTGGCCGACGAGCTCGCACTGGCGAGGTTCAGCCTTTGGCCGGTCCGGCGACCGGCTGGAGGAAGAGGGAGGGGAGGAGAAAAAAAAATTCAAAAAAATATTAAAATATTATTAAAAGTTGTCCACGTCAGCGCCGGTGATCGGCCGCCGGCTAGCTGGTGTCCACGTGAGCAAAATCCGGCCAAAATTGACTGGAAGGACTGAATTGGCACAAAAACAAAAAGTTTAAGACTGAATTAACACCAATACAAAATGTTTATGACTAAATTGGCACCAATGCAAAAGGTTTAGGACTGAATTGACACCAAAAAAAGGTTTAGGACTAAATTGGCACTAATACAAAAGGTTTGGGACTTTTTTGGCACTTTTCCCCGTCTTTATTTTATAATTTCTCAGTAAATTAAAATTTAATAAATACTCAAGGAAATAAAAATTTTAATTTATACTTAATTCATCATCATTTTCACAATGAGAATCACACAAAATTAACGCATAATAAGATTTTCAAATTTCAAAAACAAAATGTGAATACAAGGTACAAAAAGAGTGAAATATGATATTTTAAGGTTATACTTGGTCTAGTGGTCTGGGGTCCTCACACACCCTCCTTCTGTTGGGTGTGCACACCCCCGTTTGATGGCACGGACGCCATTTGGGTAGCGACAAATGTTCCACGCGACCTGTGGATCTTGGTGAAAACTCTTTTGACATTGTTTGCACACTACATGAAAGTTTTTAGTCTCTAAGAATTTCCATGTCTGTTCTTACTCGGTTGGTCACCCAAATCGAATACATTTTTGGTTCAAACTGGCCATATATCGTAAATAACGAGGGAATCTTATATACTAAGTGGAAATTTATTAGAAAGTCAAAAAAAAATTATAATATGAAAGAGGGATGAAGGAGAGTAGGGGTGTGCAACCGGACCGGCTTTACCTGGGAACCGGATCAGACCACCCGAAAAAATAGGTCCGGGAACCGGTTCCATTTTTTGGGAACTGGTTAAAACCAGTTTGGTTCTCGGTTCCAAATGAAGACGAGAACCGGGCCAACCAGACCGGTTTTGGAACCGATTTTTAGCATGTGTTAAAAAAAAAAAAACCCTAGATCATACTATTACTATATATTGGATTGTTGCTTTTGGTGGATAGTAATTTCTATTGCTCATCTTAGGGATTGTTGCTTTTGGCGAATAGTGATTTTTATTATTCATCTTTTACTTTGAATCGTTTCATTATTACTCATATTATTTTGCTGGAAAAAATGAAACTAGAAAAGGAACAAAAGAAAAACAGGTTCTAGGGTAAACCCTAAAACCAGATCGAAAAAATAGAATAGGTTCCAAAACAGGTTTGGGGGCAAACAAGGTAGGTTCCGGATTCCAAAAACTAGGAACCGATTATAACAGAGTAGGTTCCAGGTTCTAAGTCTGGAATCTACCCACCCTAGAATCAATCACCCCTAAAGCTAAGAATGAGAACAAGATACCTCTAATTCACAGCAAATTTTATGATTTTCTTTTAAGTTGGCCAGACAACCCTTGGACTTATTTTTTCATCGTCAGGCCATTGCCCGAGAGCAAAGGGGCTGTTCCCGCAAGCCCCTTTTTCCTAATGGGCCCGGCCCAACAAGGGCCCAATGGTGACATGCCTGAGCCGACAAGGCCTGTTGGCCATTGCTATTCCCTACCACAGGTTTCCAACCGATGGAAATTCTATTTGGATACATCCAAATACATCCGAACCATTTAATTAATAGATTCCACACATAATTAGTATAGCGCTCACATAACTCAACAGTTCAGATAGGATCCAGGATACATGCATTGAGTGCCTAGAATAATTTTTCGGTCTAGTATAGATGCTGTTTCAATTCCTACGCACGATTTCTTGTACATTCTTCCCTGACGAACACGCGTTTCGCTGTGCCGTGACTGTTTTCTGGATTTTCATGTGAGCTCTCTCGAGTTGAGCATGTACCGATCCGGCCATACATGCAACTAAGTAATTCTTATAACCCAAGAACAGGTCTTCATCTCGGTGAGATGTATGTCTGTTGGGGAGGAAATGTTCCTTAAGACATTCGATGGAGTTTAATCTTTGAGAACAGAAAAAC